TTACCCAAGGTGACATTCATGTGATCTGTGAAGCCACTCAGTAACAGATTAGACAGGGACAGAGATAAAGAGAAGACAGCACTACTGTAAAGACGAGACTACCCAAGTTGTGAAAAATACAACTCACCACCACATGAATAGTGTGTTGCTGGGAGGGGTAAAAACCAAAATATCAGAGTGCATAAGCAAAGAAAAAGAGAGAGAACAAAGAACCAGGTGAAACCAAAGCGATTTAGCATTAGTGGCATTTGGTGACATGCAACAGCAACAGAAATGCATCAGTGATGGAAAACAACTGCAGGACTTCAGAGCTTAAGTGTTTCAAAATGGTTCCAACACACAAAAAGAAAGACCGGTTTGCATTATTGGATGTTAATCATTGTAAAAGCAGAATGCAGGAGGTGTAAACAATGTGCCAACAAGCTTAAGAAGCATGAAGACAATGTCCACACAAGAGCGACCAAATTAGAAAGCTTTAAAATTTAAAGACTTTTTCTGCTCCGTTTTCAGACAGAATAAGCTGATGTTTTTTTTTCTGTTGGTGTGGGGAACTTTTCCAAAGCAACCTGAAAACATTCATGATGTTTCCACATGTAAATAGCATTTTCAAATGTATCTCCCCAAGTATTGACATGGTGCTAATCTTGCCCTCTAACCAAACACTCCAGCAGCTGATAATTATTCCGTCCTGCTTCGGTTAAAGATGTTCTAATCATATAATATCCTCAATGGCATTTTCAGTGTACGCTTGGTTATACTGTTGAGATTTTCTTAAATGCATATAATTGTTGATCCAAGTTCTTCTCCAACCGTACCTGGACATTTTATAGAACATTACACCAAAACAACTGTTGTTTAACATTTGAAAAGGTTAAAAAAAAAAGGGCATGACATTTCTGAAAAGGCTGAAGTGTGCGTAGAGTACCGAGAAAGCTAAAGGCATGCATTGCCGTCTCCTGGCCAGCTTCTTCCTGTCTCTCTCCTGCTTCTCTCTGTGGGCCAGCTGCTGGTAATACTCGATCAGCTTGTTGATCTGTAGGGAACAGAAATTTCAACCAGAGACATGAAAAATACCCCCCATCCATTCAGAGCACAGTACAATGAGAATGTGAGATACTTTCACGTAACACAATAGTCCAGGAAGGCATCACAGTTAAAAAACAAAAGGTGTCTTCCCTTAACAAAAATGAGTTAACTGTCTTTAAATTAACTTGTGAAATGTGGGAATACAATATCTGAAGGTGTGAAAATAGAATATTATGTGTTTTAATAAACACTTCAATTGTGAAAAAAGTAAAAGGGGGCATTTATGATCTGCTGTTTGTGGCCTCAGCAATTTTAGCAACCGCTAAGTTAGTGATTAGTTACTTTGCTTTTGCCTGTGGTCGGCAATGTGTGGGCGTCACTTATTTAGAGACATCTATTTAAAACACAAGTAATGCATGATCAGAAAACATGTGAGCAACTCGAGAGAATTTAAACTGCCACAGGGGAAAACTTACCCGCTGAGAATGAGTGTTCTCCGGCTCTTGCCAACCACCACTGGCTGCAGTGAAGAAAATTCACCAACATGTAAGAAACAGTGACAACAGATAGCAGCTTCCTTCAAGAGCTGAATTAACGAGCAACTGTCGACCTTACAGCAGGACTTTCACACATTATGGTGTTTCGGTACACTTGATGCTACTCCAATTTAAACATTAAAAGACCGTAGATATGACCGTATTAATGTGTCTTCATGTATCAGCACCCACCGACTGATTTGTCAGCCATTCCCACATCCCTGGAGGTCCAGCGACAGAAGCCGCAGGCCAGGTAGTAGGCCTTCTTCATGGCCGTCTTGGTGGGGTCATCGGGCAGAGGAGCTGGGATGTTGGTGGCCCGAGTAGACAGTGTGTGCATGCAACATGGGCAGTCGAAGCAATTGGCACACCTGCAGACATTAATGACGTAAATATGATAAAGATATGATGTGATATGTAGCTTTCTGCATTATATATACTGTCAATTGTCTGCACATCAGTCTCACCTGTTCTTTTTGAGCTTAGCCTCTGCAGATGGCATGTTCTCCAGACAGCTTGGACAATAGTGGGAGTCCACCTGATCACCAAAAACAAGGGTTCAGAGAGGAGTCCGTGAAAAGTGTGCATCCAAATCTAAAAGCTGATTTAACACCCACTTCCTAATTGTTGGATTATCTGAGTAAACACAAACAAACGCGACTGCCATTGAATTTGGTTGGCATTTAATTGAGCAGTGGGGGAACTGAATAGGTTTATCATGAGGCGAGATTGATGAGTTTTCGTGCAAACTGTCTGCAATCACATGTTTACAAGGAAAGAAATCACTGACTGGTTTGTTAAGTTGCAATAAATGAAGAATCAGTCAGTCTGGGTGTGGTGTCCAGAACAGTCAGCCACGTTTACAAGCGGCATTTTGACAGCCAGGATGTCAACCGAGGTGGACTAACGTTGTAATAAATGTTTTTTTACTTGTCTCATATTATTCACGGATGAACTGACGGAATACTTTAACATTAAAGTAGCAGGAGCTAGCTACCTAGCCCGTTTGTGCTGCGCTAGGCATTACGCTAACGCCAACGGAAGTTAAACGTCTCCTTCGACCAATGAGACGAGCAGAATGTCGGGAAGACCTTTGATTGACAAGCGGCTCAGCCATAGAATGCGCGAAGAGCTCGGCTTAGTCCCGCCTACTTGTCAAAAGCTACTTAGCGAACCGGCTAACAACAAAAGTAGCTGCTGACTTAGACAAAGCTAACAGCTAGCCTGGGGAGAAAAAAAAAAAAACAGAGGCTCAATAAAAAGGAACAAAACGTCCACGTACCTCGTGAGACACACATTCCAGAGACCGCAGCTCACTACAGTAGCGGCAGAAATAAAGTTGAGATAAAGGGGCTCTGATCCTTTTCTCGCCACGGACCAGATAGACGACTCTATCCGGCTGCAGAAGGGACGCCATCTCTGACCAAAGCAGCCCGAGTCCTGCTGGTTTTAATGTCAACCCAGCGAGCTCAATGTCGACCTCATGTGGGGAACTGCCAGCCCCACACCCATGGGTGTATTATGGTTTACTGAGTGGGTTTAGTTAGACACATGCCCAAGGGGACCAAGGGGTCAGGGAGCTCCTATAACTAACTCATAAAGGGCTTTAAGTTTCTATAATGTGTCTATTAAGGCCTCTAGTATTGTGGAAATTGGGTTCTGAAGCTTTGCAAATTAGGTGTAAATCCTCTCTTCATAGCCAGCATGAACAAAATACAGATTTCAACCAACAGCAGTACTTAGGAGTTCTAGTTAACAAGGAAAAATGACCATAAGACAAGACATAATCCAGTGGTAAACTGATGATCCCTGACTGATAAACTCTATACGATGAACCCAAATTGTGGATGCAATAACTGCAGGAAGTTTATGTAAGAAAAGGGATTTTCTAACTTTTCCTGAACATCAGTGTTTTCCCTTTTCTCCGAATCCTATTTTACATACAAGGAGTTTGCCTTGGTAAGTTGGTGCATAACAATTAAACATAGAAAAATATAAATAAAGGTTAAAAAAATAGTAAAAAGCTGTACAGAAATGTGGCCGGAGAATCTGAAGTTAGTGAGATGTAACAATATTTGCAATGTGCAAAGATAAGAAGTACATTCATAAATGTACATAAACATAAATCCTGCTTTTTTTCCGTCTGTATTATACAAATTTATTTATTTTTAACAGTCATACACACTGAATAGGCCTTTTGTTTTTTTGACAAATTCTGTGTTTTTTTCTCCCTGTTGCTTGGCCATTGTTCTGCTAACGTAATACTTTTCTAATGCAGGATGAGACTGAAGGCTCTGTGAATATATCTTGTATTCAGGTCTTCAAAGTGTAGCTCTTACATGATATTCTAAACATTAATAAATATTCAATTTAGTTTTCTTCACAGAATTTAACGGAACTTTGAGACGATATACGTCTACTGTGTATATTTTTTAAGTTTTCTTACTTAAAAAGCAAGAAAGCCTTGAAACCCCACATGAAGCTTTGGCGTCCCCTAGTGGGGGTCCAGACCCACAGGTTGGGAACCACTGTCATAATCCATACATGCCCACACCAGACTAGTTTTGAATGAAACACCTGTAACATCTTTTTTAACTTTGGCCTCAATTTGTGCCAATCAAAGAAAATATAGTGACTAAGATTTATATTATAAGAAGTTATATTTGAATATAGGTCTTATTGTTCTGAGTCATATAATGTTTATGTATTTGCTGGAGAAGTGTCCTAGGAGTTCACCATGTTGCAGCTCCAGGATCTGTGAATTCAGTGTATTATTTCTTCCCCTTAAAGAGACACTGAAAGTGAACAGCAGAGTATTACAGAAATAACAGATTCACACCTTTTGATGGTGCAGTGATGCATGTGAACCAGTCTCATCTGGGGAAATTACAATTATTGTCAAGCTTGCCACATGCATAGACAGTATATATAGCAGGAGAACAGAAGTAAATATCATGAATTAACTGACTATATTCAGACACTTTCTTGTGCCACTCAGTAGCATTATTTTTCCCCCTTTGATTCTAATCTTTTGTGTTGCATCATAGCTTTGCACTCATGTTTGCCTTGCCTGCAAATACACATTATGTGGCCTTGTGGGACACTACAGATCCAAACTGAAAACTGTGTAAAATGAGGTTCCTTTAACAGGACGGGAAAGAGGCCTGCCAGCCACCCACGGGGCATATGGCCAAGTACCAGCTCACCATGGCAACAGCTGATCCCTGAGAGGAGAAATCATCCATGAATAAAAAATTAAACCAACATTTTCTCCTGGAAAAAGGTGACGCATCTCATTTTGTGTTCATCAAGATTCAGCCAAGTTCGACGTGTCACTCCGACAGACGCTTTTATTTATTCATCATAGGCTGCTTTTTCTCTACAGTCTTAATGAAGGCTGTTTATGAGTGTTCACAGTAGGTTAGGCACGAGGCATGAGCAGAGTGACACACACACAAAGACCTAGTCAAATGTATTTACTTCATTTTTGGCAGATATTCTTAATTAGGGAAAGTGAATGTTAAGGGAGAACATTATTGGGTTATTTATAAATACATACTCAGTACTAAATAGTGTGGATGATGTATACCTGGAGAGTGGTGTACAGTGGCACCTGCAGAGAAGTGGGTATACTCTTAATTTATGCCCCAAATGAGTTTTCAAAGCAGCCTGTCCAGCAAAATATAAACGCCATGTTATTATAAACAGTGACAGAAGACTACTTGTGCATATAAAGCTCTATATATAGCCTAGAACTATTTGCTCATCGTCACTTAACTTTTGCAGCTTGACTTTAAGGATCATTATGAAATTAACATAGAGCCACAGAGGAGGAGCAGATTTTGCATGAATACCGTCTCAGACAGGTGAGACAAGTTATGCAGAATTATGCATTTTGAGTGAACTTTTCTTTATTTCCTTACTCCACCTACTCATGGAAATTGGACAACTATGCCATGCCTTTGCTATCCCATAATGTAGCTTGCAGAAGAGGAGATTTAGAAGTGGGTATAACCAGTGCAGACTGAAAATATACCCGCACAGAGGGTACCCTGCACTACACCACTGAACCTGAATAAAAGTTACTATCAAACCTTCCATCTATCTTATATCTATACATACTGTTTTCATTAATTTATTCATTCATTCATTCAATCAGTATGTCATTGTGTAGGCTACGTCGTTACGTCAGCAGAGGGCGTAATCCCAGCCAGCTGTGCGCCCCTCCGCCCCCCTGCCAGAGGATTTAATGCATCCTGAGGGAAAGAAGCGGACAGACAGCCACAGCGAGCAGACACCATGTCGGCGAAGGACGGCATGATGTGGCCCCTCTTACCGCTACTGCTGCTCGGTGTGCTGCGACCCTGCACCGCCGGAGTCCCATTCAAACAGGTAACCTGTTGATGACCACACAGCGCATTCACAGTATGAGTCCAGGATAGATTAATGTGATCAGATGACATCACTGTGTTGTCTAATAATGAACCGTTCACAGGGAGTAGAATTTGTCTGGAAATAATGTAAGTAAGTAGTTGTTACCTGTATGCGGGTTTTGTTATATTTTATTTTATTTTGGATTAAATGTTCAAAACAGGTGGCAGACAGCAATATAATAAAAACACTCAATCACAATTCCACTGCTACACATGTGGGTGATGATAATAATTTAACTCCGTATTTATTTTTTTATGTCATCTCTCCTATTCCTTTATGGTCATTTTTAAGTTTTGGGGGGTTTCTTTGAACCTGAACTTTGTGGGGGCACAAATGATCTGCCCACTTTTTGAGGCTGTGTAGGTAGTTATGCAAACACCTGTTATGCCAATTGCAAAACATCAGTGGGGCAGTGGCTGCAACACCTGAGACAGTCACACACAACAAAAAGTTAGAAAGAAGTTAATCCACATGTAGGGATGGTTGGAAACTTTTTCTACTGCCTGTTTATTGAGTGTCAACTATAACAAATGTTTTAAGTATTGTCTAATGGACATTTTCATACACTTACACAGACATGTTCTTCTGCTTATGTTCTCCACATCTCACGCACCTATTATGCAAATCCAATCTCAACTGTATAAAATAATAGTTAGTTAGCAGTATTTCATTGTTTAAAGTTAATTGAGCTCTATCTCAGGTAACACAAACTTAGTTTTAATTTAACCAAGTGCCTCTGGCTCTTTGAGTGCAATGTTCTCCCACTCTGTTGACACTGGGCCTGTGTTGTGTAGTGGGGGGCGAATGTAAATATAACAACATAGGTATGAAGAGGAAGAAGGGTGAAAGCGTTGCAGCTGTCCCTTATTTGGTTAAAGCTTTGGGATCCATTTGATAAATAAGCTCCTGATATTTGCTTTGCAAACAAGACAGACTACAGAGACAGTAGATTCATTATTTGGTTGATCTTCAGGGCCTTTTCAACATTTCTTGGTATATTAAAATTATGATTTGTTTTCAGAAAACACTGGATAATAAGCCATGTTCAATTTAGATTTCACAATCTAGTATACACTTTGTCACCAATAGCCTACACATAATCATTTTTTGTTATATTGAAGATTTTATTTGTCCTGATTATGAATCAAACAGTTGATATTTTATTCTTCATAATCATGGAGCAACACATCCAACTAACAAACAAGTGGGTGACTGAAATGTTACAAAACACACACCACCTGTAATCAAACAGGTGTGACTGGTCACATCGATGCCGTGGCATACTATTGGCTAGAAAATGGGTGTTGTAGAAAGTGCAAATCTCTAAGCAAATAATGGACACTTCCTGCAGAAGGGGGCATTTGTTGTTTTGCATACATATGTTGAGAAAGCATAACTACTACAGTAAATACTGAAATACTGATGATTGTGTTTGCTGTTGGCCAACAAATATAACCTGCTCTGACCTGTGTCTGTGCAAGCAGCAGTGTGACTCATCCACAGATGGCACCATTTACAAATACCACGCAAAGACTCTAAACGGGAGTCACACTGTGAACTTCAGTGACTACGCCGGCAAGAGTGTCCTCTTCGTCAATGTGGCCACGTACTGAGGATACACCTTTCAGTATGTGGGTAAGAAACGGCACCACAGGCTTAATTACTGTGTTGCAGTGTAACAAAAAAAAAAAGCTTCAACCATAAGCCTTTTCATTTTCTTTTCTATTATCAGAATTGAATGCACTACATGAGGAGATGAAACCTCTTGGACTCACCGTTCTCGGCTTTCCCAGCAACCAATTTGGGAAACAGGAACCAGGGCAAAAACATGAAATTCTGCCAGCTTTAAAGTGAGAAATGTTTCTCTTTCAATCCAACATCAGGTCATCAGCCACAGCACACTGTGTGAAAACACTATAAACCTAAAAAATGAAGCTTTGATATGTCAGCTGTTTGGATTTATTTTATTCTTTTTGCCTATAAGAAGATTTGGAGAATCTCCTAAATTTGAGTGACAAGCTCAGTATATGATACAGTATATATTGTAATGTTCTGTAACATAAGAACCTTTAAAGCTGGATGTAGAGAGGAATTTGCAATATTGGTAAATCCTCTGTCAATCAACAAAGCTTAATTTAATCAGGGAAAGCATCCTTTGGCAATAAGATCAGTTTCTGTTAGGGGCCTCTCTAACACACAGAATTTATGTCTCAGGTTCCATCAGTCATCTTACATCCATAGCAAAACCATTGCAATAGACTGTGTGGTTTCACTCTTCTTGGAGTGAATCTAGGGCAGCTGCCAAGCCACAAAGTGCTCAGAGGCACGTCCACTGATAAGCTGCCCTCTTTCTGGATTCCAGGCATGTTAGACCAGGCAATGGATTTGTTCCAAACTTCCTGCTGTTTGAGAAAGGTGATGTGAATGGAAAAGATGAGCAAGAAGTTTTCACTTTCCTTAAGGTATGTTATGGTCTGCTTGCAAAGTGTGTGATTACATTTGTACTGTACCTGTTTTATAGTAGTTTAAATTACTAATGCTACTCTCCAGCTGTGCACGCACCCTTCAGACAAATATCTCAATCTCGTTACTCTTACCTGATAAGTCACATTCCCTTGTTTACTGAATAGTGCATACATGTGCTCACACCCATCATAGAAGCACACCACAACCTAGAAGGGTGCTTTCCACATTTAAACTGCTATTAATAGCATTGTTTTGATTATGAGCCACTGAAAAACACTGTCACTAGAATGAACGAGGTGGAACAGGGAGTGGGTTATTGACAAAGAGATGCCCATACACATCTCTAAGGTGGAGGCTGTTCGCCTGCACTCTCTCACTACAATGCTGTGCTTTCTGCCATACAGAACTTCTGCCCTCCAGTTGGAGTCAGCTTCGGTAACCCCACCGGGAGACTGTTCTGGGAGCCTCTGATGATCAGCGACATCAAGTGGAACTTTGAAAAGTTTCTGGTGGGACCCGACGGGAAGCCAGTGATGAGGTGGCACCCAAGTGTCAGCGTGTCTGAGGTCCGAGCGGACATCCGCGAATACCTGCTCAAACTATACACAAAGGAAATTTTTAATTAGATCTGATCATACAGTATTCTGTTCATCTGATGAACTGTAATGAGATGCTAAAGTAGAATGTAAAATAGAAAGTAATGCTAACAGTTTCTGATCCATGAAGATGCATGTTGAATGAAGAGGAGGCTTGAAAACAGGAACTCTGTGGTGCCTCTTTGGAGTCTGGGGTTCAGGACAGCTCTTTAGTGCATTCAGGCTGCCCTGCATTCCCACAGCATCATGTCATCTTCTCATCCAAAGACCTGTTAGCCATTACAGCCTTTATGTTAATTACTTCCAATAAATCATTAACAACACACTGATGTGTCGACTCTTCTTTGCGAGAGACGACTGTTATACTGTGGATGTCACGGAAAAGTGAGCATGAATGTGGCACATTTCTGTCCTGCAATAAAGCAGGACAAAGTATGAACATGAATAAGCAGGGTGAGATGCTAATAGACATTCAGAATAGATTTATTAAGCCAGTCAAATACAAAAAGTCTCACATGTGCTTTTGCCTACAGCAAAAAAGAAAAAGGGCTACAAACCAAGAAAATTCAACTGCCAGTAATTACAGCGTACCTTTCATAGTGCAATTCTGCTAATTTCTCATTGCAGCTCTCACCCATCAGGATTTTGTTCCCAGTAACTAATAACTTGTTTAATAAAATGGAGCCTTTCAAATTCATCCGCACACAATTTTGAAGCCCTTCATCTGACTACCTGATGTACACTGTACTGAAGAAATTTGAATGGGTATTTAGTCAAGTGGCTTGATTTTTAGATTGGATCTGCTTTTAAAGTGGTAACCTACGTTATCTCGAGGTGTGTGTCCTGTGTCTATTGGGGCTCTCGACTTCGTGCTACAGCAGTTCACAGGTCAGTCGGCATGGCATGGATTGCTGGTTGTTGGAGTGGACAGAGAGCAAAGCCAGACATCCAGGCAGAGATTTTCCCTCTGAGGAGCGGCTGTACTGCTGTAACACTGGAGCAAAGGGCCTCCAAATACTGATGAAAATCTTCCTCTTTGTTGCTAAATCAGAATTTCCACATTTCAGTGCTAGGTGTACGTAAGTTAACGTGAAAAGACAGGATGAAGAGGAAGACTGTCATCGCTGCTGCCTTGTGGTTACGGTGCTGTTACTTCTACTGTATGTCGGGGCTAAACTGTTAGCAATAGTACAGGATGCAGTAAGATGGGTATGAATATAGGAATGAGTGGTCAAATCATCAAATCAATTGTGGTCAAGTAGAAGTGTTGTGTTTAATGAGATTAGGTCCATCATCATGGGGAAAAAAAAAAGGTTGTGTATGTACTGTGTATTGTGTCTGATACAAACATACAATGTCAATAGCTACAATATATTGGGATTACACTAACAACATAGAAAGAACAGCATTACTAAAGACAATGATTTACACTTAGTCAATGCGACTATCAAAACAGCAGGTTATAAATAAATTATCAATAATCACAATCATGTTTTTGGTATGATACCATCAAAATTCATTTCCCAAAATTTTTGTATTTCAACAACCACTTTTTGAACAGTTACACATATGGGACAGTTCTATAACATCGATGGTACTGAAGAAATCTTCATAAATCAATTAACATTCACATTGTAAATTCTATGATTCAATGTACTTATATAATCATTCATTGTTGGAATGAGTATATGTAGCCTTAGTCATATTGGGGAATGGCTTCCTGTAACCCTACAAGTAACAAACTAAGTGTCAAGTCGTTACATATTTGCAGAGAGACAATCACATAGGTATATTTTATGGAAAAAAAGAATGTTAATTATTCCAACCTATTTAATAAATGACTTCAGTTCCTGATAAAAAAATCTAAATAATATTTCATGTATATATTCAGAATAGCGAAGTGTTTCACAAATAGCCTTATAAAACGCAAGTATAAACAACATTACAATAGGATATCTACAGTTCAGTAGGAAAATTATAGATCAAATCACACCTTGTCAACTCAAAAACAAACTGATTTCATGCTACTACCCAGACTGCATTAAGTGGGTACGGTGATGCTTTAGTGCTTTCCAGGGTCAATGTTCTGTCGCTCCCTTTTTCCAAATCCTGCTCCTGTGCCTGCTGCTGCTGCTGCTGCTGCGGACTGATCTACAGACACACAAAAAAACACAAGACTGCATTATCTTCACAAGCACAAACTTTCCTGCTAGACACTTTTTATTCGAACAGTAAACCTTTGTTGTCGTCCAAAAACTATCAAACACAAATGAGCCACACCATTGTACTTGGCAGGTGATGTTCCGTCATTACCATGAACACACTGTCTAAATATTAAAAATATGCAATAGTATGTATTAATCTAACTGGAAACAGTCAACAAATGGAGGATTTACTCTTGTTTGAGTAATATTTGCTAAAAACTACAGTGCCTGAGAGCCAGAGATAGGGTAGGAAGAAGATAGAAATCTAAAAGTATTGAGAGACGGACTAATACTACAAATGTATTGTTAGGTCTTTTTATGGCCTTTTGTTGACATTAAGGAAAATACAGACTTCTCAAGCCTTATTCTTTGAAAAACAAAAAGTGTATATAAAAGGAATAAATGATTGTACTTGGTTGGGCTGCTCCATACCTGCATTTTCTGGTGGTGGTCTTGAACTCTCACCTACTGCTCTGGCCCCTCTGGGCTGTGGAAATGACGGCTGCCAAGGAAAACCCTGGCCAAAGAGAAAGCACCATGTTAGTTCGAATCACCAACTATATACTCATTCATCACAACCAGCAGCCCTCAACTCTTTGCCGTAAACCTAACAATCATTATTGAATGTAAGCGTGTCTAGGTTGAGCGACAGTTTAACCTCATTACATCTGCTTGTTCCTCCCAATTGATAAGGGGAGTAGAGAAGTAACAGAAGAGAAGAGCCTTGTATTTCTCAGTGAACCAGAGTCACTCCAGAGAGAGAGACAGAGGGGCCTTAGAGGACCCTTACCGGGGTAACAGGCTGGAAGTCTCGTACAGGGGGTGGCGCTGCGGCGGCTGCGGCTGTGGCGCCTGCTGCATTGGGCATCCGGGGAGGGAAGTGTATGGGCCAGCCCTCAAGGCCCTGCGGTCCCACCTGCACAAAGGGACCACAGTAGGGAGGGCTCAGCGGGCCGTTCACTGAGCCTGACGTGGGGTCTGAGGTACGTCTTTCCTGTTGCTGCCCCTACGAGGGATCACAAGTACACACGTGATCCCCAATCAGTGCACGGCTGCTACTCTCAGCGAGCACAGTGACCCTGTCATGGCATGGGCCACTGCTGACCTTCAACCCTACTGCAGCTGCCTCCCACTGAGGAGCGTAAATGTTCCACCTGTTGATCCCAAATGCACTAAAAAAAAAAAAAAAAACCTAGCTGGAGTGAGGCTCTTGTCCTGGAGTATTGATTTGTCCAGTCTGAACTTATACAGTAAAGATGCACGTGGGGCTGCACTCACAAGGGGGCGCTAGTCTGCAAGATTTACCACAACTATCCTATCCTACTGCTTGATGTATCCCAAAGGCTTGAAGAGCAACTTTCAGTGAATTCTTTGGCCCTAATTAAATGTACATGGCCAAAATGACCAAACAAATCACTTTTCCAGGCTGACGGCATCATTTCATTTAAAATTTCTTCATGTCTGCAGTGCTAGTGGGCTCAGACCACAGCTTCAGCCAGTACCTGTTTGTGATGCTGCATCTGCAGTCTCTCCAGCTTACATCTCTCTGTTCGTTCTCTCTGACACTCGTTCTGTGCCTGATGAAGCTGAACCACAAACACACAACAAAACAAAACAAATCCACATTAGAGAGCAGTTCGGTTATAAATGTTATTTAATCAAGCGGAAGCTTTCACTAATTGTGCACCATACAGAAGAATATAGTCTAAACACAAAGCTTACCTGATTGGTCAAATTAGTAATCTGACCCTGGAGTCTCTCAACTTGCCGCCTCAAGTCCTCTTTCTCCTCATTCATTCGCTCCCGGTCACTCCTCTCTTTCCTGAAGTCTTCTTCAAAGAT